ATATTACATATTCTCACAAATAGCTAACATTCCTTAACTTTGAAGGAGGGGATACTATGGCAAACAGAAATACTGAGACGACACCCAGGATTTGAAGGCAGGTTTATTTTACATCAATGGGCCCTGATTGAAATCATTCCTGAATTATTAGGTCCTGATCTCTGCTGGCCTAGGGCTTATATAGGATAAGCAAGCAGGAAGTACAGAGGCAGAATGGCTTTTCAATAGGAGATTGGTTTATACAATGTGCGTTATAGTGACCAGCTAGGCATCACAGTGACCAGCCATTTCTAGGAGACAGAAGCAAAACTATTACTTGGGCAACTAACAAACTGAAGTACTCTGTCCGGAGGGGTAGGGGGTTGTGTCTTCTCCTACAGGTATATTAAACACAGTTTTTCTGAAAGGTGACCCAATTTATCTTGGTTGATTTAGAGACTATCTAAATTACAATGAAGTAATGGCCTAATATTCTAGGGTTTCAAACTGTGGGAGAGACAGGTATTACCACTGTGTGCCAGACCTCAAGACAAAAGATTAAACAAATGCACCTACGTACCTCCCTGGGGATGGACATCGGGGATTGATATTCTAAATAGGTATCCATCACCTTGAAAAAGCCAGGAAAAGTCACTAACCCAGCCCCCTTTAGGAAAAGCCCCTTTTCTATATCCATGCCTGCTTACATTGTGACTCACTTCCTCATTTGATCCCAATTTAATCAATTTTACCTGAACGATTATATTTATGATCTTACTGCCTGACCATCATTTTACCCCACCTTGTGCCTATCTTTTGAGTTCCCATTTTTCCCACCTGTCTGACCTCATCGTTTTGCTCCATAAAAATCCCTAGAAAAGGCAAGCTTTTGGCAACCTGCTTGGGCTCCCTTTTGTCCCTCTCTTAGAAGCTTTCTTTCTCCCAATAAATATATTCTGCTCTTTAAAAAGAACTCAGCCTCCATTAGGTTTTAAAGACAGTCATATATCTATACATTCATTCATCAATCATCTAGCTACCCATTCATTTAAATATCATTTCATCCAATTCACCGATATCCTTCAATTAACCTAGTATTAACTCTCCTGTAAATTGTCATTCATCTGTCTTCAATCTGTCCATCATCATGAGTCATCCTGCCAACATACATACACCTACATTCCATCATGCAGCTTTCTAAAAGTATCAATCTACGCACAGCATATCTGCTAGTTTTCATCTTTTAACTGTGTGTACACCAACTCACCACAACTACAGTGTGTATGTGTAGACCCACTCCCTTGCTTGCTTCCTCCCTCCTTCCATCCATCCCCAGATAAGCAAGATTCATCCACCGAACCTTGTTCATACTCATAAAGGGACTTTAAAAGGTTAAACACAACTGTATAGTTAGTGGGGTAGATGTGGTGGGACAACAGAAGTGGTAAATATTTGTTATAGCTAGTTAGAGTGGTTCTTGGCGAAGGTGATCCTGGAGGACTGATGGATGGCTGTGCTAATCTGTTATCACAGGGAAGCTCAGCAGGCCAAGAAAAGCACACCCAGGACCTACTAAAATGACCCTCTTTGTGGGGAAATGTGTAAATGTGAGCACAGGAGTCATTTGAGATCTTGGCCTGTATAACTGGATCTTAGACACAGAGAATTCTTCTGGACACTTAGGGCTGACTGCAATCATTTTGTTCTACCTGTGTGTCTGTAGGTTGAGTCCAATATGATCTTGGCTCATCAGGCTCAGTCAAAGTGACAAAGGTGAGCTGGGCATGGTGGCACATGCCTGTAATCCCAGTACTTGGGAGGCTGAGGCAGGAGAATAGTTGGGAGTTCGAGATCAGCCTGGGCTACAAAGTGAGCTCAAGGCCAGCCTGAACTGCGTAGTGAGACCCTGTCTCAAAAAAAAGGCAAAAAAATAAAGTGACAAAGATGTTCAAAAAATTAAGCTAAAGCTATTTACTATTAGTTACTGGAAAGAGGCAAATATTTTAACTCTTCTGCATTTGGAATAGGAAGACCCAGATTATACAGCACTAATAGGTGACACTGGGGATACTAAGGACATCCTTCAGAGATTCTTGAATTTTTGTGTAAATTCTTTTATAGTTATACATTGCCCCAGTGTACACACACACACACACACACACACACACACACACACACACACACACACCACTTATGCTTGGTGTGGCTACAACCCATAATGGAGTCATCTCTAGTGGCTGTTTCCCACTTACAGGTCAGACCTCCTAGCTAAAGGGGAACATTCCAATTCCTGCAAATTGGAAGAGATGCAAAGAGATGCAAATTAGTCCTTGGAGCAGGGTGGGAAGGTGGGAGGTTTAAACAACAATCCTCTAGATTAGTAGCCTATCTACTTAGAAACATTTACTCCACCATTTTCAGCAATTGTTTTAGCATAAACTGTTGAACTGATCCTGTCATGTATCCACCCTTGAACTAATTTCCGCATTCAGGGACATGAAGACCCATGATCACATATAGATGTTGGAATTTATGACATGGGGCAGGTGGATGGGGTGGGGTGTGTTCTGCTGGTACATTACACCTCCGGTCCCATCTGCTCTCAAACTGCAACATCCACACCAGTGCAGTCACCTCAGTTTTACTTTTTTCTGAGAGGAGAAAATGAGGCACTGTTGTCAGGAGGAAGAAGTAGGGGGAAAAGATGGAGAGTAAGGCAGACACCAACAGCAGATATTGCTTCTAGACCTCCAGTGATCTTGACTCTGCATCTCAGGGCCTGACCTTTCCTTGCTGGTGCCCGCATGCCCTGGGTCCAGACAAGGAGGAACCAGAAGGGAGAACTGATATCTCTGGAGCACAGCTCAAAGAATCATCTTTCATTCCAGGAAGGATTCTTATCACATGTTCTGCCTTTGTTTCACAGAAATTCTTTAATCTCAATTTCCATGCAGATGCTGAACAGGTAAGCACATTTGTTTTCCTTGGATATAGGCTTGCAGTTATACTTTCAAGCTCTAACTAACTCTGAATGCAAGAATTTTCCTTTCTGGGTCATATTCATTCTTTGTGTGTATCGCGCTGAAGCCCAGAAAGGGGAAAGAACTTACCAGAGAAACATAGGCTGGACAGTTAGGGACAGGATTGGAACCCACTCTCCTGGCTCCCAGTGCAGTGTTCTCAGCCAGGAACTCTTGTGTTCCCTGGACTCAGCTACACCCTTCACATCTGTGTTTAAGCCTTCCAAAGCAGTGCTAGAAGGAGGCTACAGCAGAAGACTCTCAAAAAGCAGAGATGACTGGCTAAGTGGCAGAGGAGCCTTCATGAGGAGAACAGGTCTTTTAGGAGGTCGCAGGTTTGAATATCTGTATAGGAACAGAGCCTAGGATCTCACTGCTAATGACAACAACCCCCTCCGAGGATATAGGAAACTCCAGTAGTACCCTGCCTTCTCCTTCTTCCTCTCTTATTGTCCCCCAGTGGGTTTCCTGGGTCTGGTAACATTAGCTGAGAAACATCTTACAATCCTACTCTCTGCTTCCTCCATAGGGATCATAGTACTTTCCTTATGCGTTTGTAAGGAAGAAACAACATTTATTCAGCCATTCAGAAAAGATTTCATAAGCATATATTGTGTGGCAGGACCTAATAGAGCAGCTGGGATGTAACAGTGAAACAGACAAGATTCCCTGCCCTCCTGGAGCTTCCCATTCCCATGAGAGATGAGTACAACAGAAAAATAAACAAATAACCTATGCAGTATGCTTAATGAATATTCACAGGTAAAGCAAAAAGGGAAAGTAGGCAATGAGCAGTTGTTTGAATATAAACTTTAGGGTCAGGGATGGCAGGCTGAGCAGGTGACTTCAGAGCAGTGTTTTGGAGGAGGGAAAGAAACCAAGTGTCAGAAAATCTGAAAGAAGAGTGTTCTGGGCAGAGAAAGCAGCATCTGCGAAGGCTCTGATGCAGCAGGCAGTGTGTTTGGATCAAACGCAGTGAGAAAGCAGACAGGCTGGTTGCCAAGGAGGTTGTGGGAGGCAGGGCGAGACAGTCACTGGAAGGACTTGGATTGTGATTCAGCATGTGGTGCTCATGTGGTGTTCAGGGGGCTCTGAACAGAGCTGTGATGTCTTAGGTTACTCGCAGGTCCCTGACTGCAGTATGGTCTAGGTAGCAGAGGTAGGGTGGGACAGGTCCAGAGAGACCAGCTAGAAGTCCACTGTGCTGCAGCAGCCCAGACAAGGTGTCCTCCAGGACCAAAGCAGGAGAGTGGAGACAAATAAGTGGGGTCCTGACATTTTTTAACTTGATGATGAACAGGGTAAGGAGAATGAGAGCAAGAGAGGAGGGGATGCTGCCCTTGATTGCTCTGACCTTAGGAGTAATGCACATAGCCTCACCACTACCTCTGACTGCGTAGCAGCAACTACTGTAGCTCTCATGTTTGCTGATACCCATTTTCTTCAATTGTTGCTGACTAGTGTGGGTCCTTACTATCTCTCTCCTAGATTTTATTGTCTCCTTCATTCACTTTATCTTCCCAGGCTTTACAGTTTCACCAGACTTAATGCACTAAACAAGGTAGAGAATATCACCTGCTTCTTAATTGCCTACTCATGTTGATAAGAGAGATCGCCTTGCTTCCCATGCTAGTCAGATTTCTGTTACTACAAAAAATATCTGAGGTAATCAACGTATAAAGAAGAAAAAGCTTAGTTTTCCTTGCAGTTTTGGAGGTTTGTTTCCATGTTCTTTTGACCCGGAAGCTTTTTGCCCACTCTGCCACATCATCGAAGGAGCAGCTAAAGGAACAAAAATTACTCACCTCATTGTTGGGGAGGGAAGGAAGATAGAGGAGGGGACTAAGGTACCATTATCCACTTCAAGGTCAAGCATACACTGGCCCAAAGTGCTCCCATAAGTACCCATTCCTGCAAGCTCCCATCACATGGGCCTTGCTAGGTTATTTAAATTCCAAATTATTGCACCTTCATTGAGTTAGTTCTTCAATAAATGCCCGAATGCCAAGTAAGTGCGAGGTACTGTGCAGAAAATGTGCTTCACTATCTGACCCCTGTGGCATTCCTCACAGGCAAGTGCTCTTTTGCTGTTCTGGGATTAGTCCTGCCGGGACGCCTCTGTCCCTTTGCTCATGCTATTTTCACTGCTTGAAAATTTCGTCCCCTCTTTCACATGTCAGTAGCATTCATCCCCAGAAATCTTAGCCATATTTCTCATTTCTCAGACCATATGCCTAACACCCACAATTTATAGAAGGAAAGGTTTACTTTGGCTCAGTTTCCAAAGGGTTCAGTCCATAACTGTTTGACTCCAAACCAAAAATGTCACGGCAGAAAGGTCTGGCAGAGGAAAGATGCTAAACCCACAGAAAACAGGAATCAGAGAGAGAAGGGAGGTTAGGCCCCCAGTTATCCACCACTTCAGCCAGGCCCCACTATCCTAAAATCACATGAACTGCTAAACTCATCAGTGGATGAAACTACCCATGAGTATAGTGCCCCATGCTCCACCCACCTTTTAAAAATCTCACCCCTAAGCACAAGACCTCAGGGGGACATTTTAGATCTAAATCATAACGCTAGACCCACTGTGGATGCCAAAAGCACCTGCTCCATATGGCTTTCCATGCATCTTACTCATCTGAAGATGAGTTATAGATTTTGCCAGCCCATGGAGCAGCTGTCACTGAACTGCACAGCTTATCTAAGGCAGCAGGAGTTGCTATTCTCCAGGGGTAGACCCTGGTCTCTATTGTCAGCCTACTGGAGGAGGATTTGGATCTTGCTATTTTATTCCTCTGAAGGAGGAAATTAAATCCTAGTTTAGCACCTAGAGTGATCAGCTCACACTTCCTCAAAGCTGATCATTAATGGAAAAGAGCTCAAATTTAAACATAACTAGATACATACAATTTCTGGACCCTCAGTAACCAGAGTCTGTATTTGTGAATTCATTTATTGGTAATGTGGATTTGCAGCCTCAACATCAATATTTGTTATACCTTTATGGCTATTTGTAACGTGTGTATGGAGCAGAGGAGTTTGAATTTCTTGATGCCTTTCTAATCTGAGTTCTAAGAAGGTTATACAATTTCTTCTTGCTTCTCCTCTCATGCTAAGAAACTGTATTTTTGTGATCTATTTAGAGTCACATTTTTTCAATATTCACTTTTCTTAGTGATTTCTGTGTTTTAAGATAGGTCCCAAGCATAGCACTGAAGTGTAGTCTAGTGTTCGCAAGTGCAGGAGGCTGTGGTGTGCCTTAAAGAGAAGATACATGAGATAAATAAGTTTCATTCAGGCTTCACTTATAATGTACTTGGCCACAAAGTCAGTGTTAGTGAGTTAATTGTACAGTACATCCAAAAGAAGAGACTCTATTACCTCTCTGTGAAACCATTATAGAGAGCGACAATATGCTACCTATCATGTCATTAAGCTATGAAAAAGCTAGAAAGCAGGGAAACTTGTGCATTCATGAAATGATGGATTTTTTTCCAAAAAATGTACTACAGTACATTGTTGGGAGGTAGAAGCTAAAGAAAATTCCAGTGTTAACACTAGAAAATGCTAAGCCCTTCCCAGGCAATGTTTCATTACAAATAAATTTACATGTAACTATTTTTTGCAAGGAATACATGTTATACAATGTGTATTTGAACAGGAATTCTTACACACAATAAGGATGATGGAAATGGTGTGACAAAAGGCCGACTGGAACTTAACTCTGGAATGGGAGCACAGTTCAGTATTTGCTAATTCAACATTCACTGAAACTGTACAGACATACTGACTATGATATACTACAGTTTTAAATATATTTATAGATATTTTAATGTATATATATATATATATATATATATATATAGAGAGAGAGAGAGAGAGAGAGAGAGAGAGAGAAGACTCTCACTCTTCTCCCACCACCAACTTACCAACACTAACTACCTGTCAAACCTTTTGTTTTAACAAACTTAGTCCCATTGTTAGGACACTGAGCTTCTGAGAACAATGTCCAGAGCCATGGGGATCTATTGTACTGGTTTTATTCTCTAACTAGTAAAGAGGGGACATGGGAGTTACTTGGGGAGGGGGAGTCACAGATATTTCAATGCTTTCTTCCCTAGAGTTATCTTATTTTGCCCGCTGTAATTGACAGAGTGCTTCTGCCCAAGACACCAGAAGAGATTCTGGCTGAAAAGAATTTCAACGCTGTCCCCTGCATAGTGGGAACCAGTAAGAAATAATTTGGCTAGCTTATGCCAACGGTGAGAATGTACAGACCTCTTAGAGTCTACTACTCTGCCCCATCATTCCTAGAACCTCTGCTCCCATGAATTCCACCTTCTCTAAGCCCCCTGTCCAGTCCAGGATGGCTGTTCCTACTGGCACAACTGTACATTTCATTGAAATAGCCTTGTGGATAGCCCAAATATCCCCATATGGTACATCCCTGGGAAGCCCCTCCACAACACTCTTTGTCTTCCCATTAAAGAATCCTTATGCTCAAACTCAGAGGCCTTTAGAGAGAAAAACAATCATGAAAATAGAACACCTCAGGTTGCTTGGAGAGGGTGAGGAATGTCAGGCTTGTGAGGTAACTAACGGTCTTGTGAGTTAACCTTAGACTTGGGCTCCCAGATCCCACAGATTTCCACAGGCACTCTCAGGTATCCCACTGGCGAGAGTCACATAAAATTTCTTCTTGAATTAAAATTTGCTTTTAAATGGAAAGAAGGGTTTTTCCTCTGTGAAAGATAAACAAGCAGGACACCAGTTAAAGCAATAGGATAGATTTTATTTGGTAATCTGATAACATAAAGAAAAGATGAAGCATGACCCGAACTCAAACACATGACACAAATGGCTGGAGATGTTCCAGGCTGAGTGAGCTCAGCAGGGCACTGTGGTCGTGAGAGATGACCAGACCAGATCACTGGATTTGTTCACCCATGCTCGTTTGTAGAAGAAGCAGACTTCCCTTTGTCCTTGAAAGGATGTAGAGCAAGGCCCCACTAAAATTAGGCCTTGATTCCTCCATAGGGACTTTCAGAGAGATAATCATTATCTCCACAGATGTTTGTATTTCAGAGAATTTTCCAAAAATTCCAAAAAAATTTCTCTCAGTCCTTGAGAATACAGTTTTGGGTTGGAGATTTACATCCCAGTGACAGAGAAAGAGTTGATATTTGCAAGCTTTCTAAAGTAACTGCTCTGGGAAAGGGCTCATACTGTCTGTATGCACCAGGTATATGCTGGGGCAAAAAGTAATTTCATCTGAAAGCAGTAAGTAGTCTCAGGCAGGCATTTTAGGGTATGGAGTCATCCTAGGATATGGGCTTAAGCTGCTAGAAGTTAGGGTGGAGCTGGGTCCAGTCTGTGAGTGCAGAAGTTTGCACAGGGCTGTCACATGTGAGACCCGCAGTACTCACTTCAGAAGGGGTTCAGAGGATTTCAAGACCAAAGCCACAAAGGTTGATCTTGTCTTCCTGAGTCATCTGAGTCTGCGGGGTATCATCCATTTTTAGTGCCCTCTGTCCCTGGTGCCTCTGCTTCAACACTACCCTAACTTAAATGTTCTTTTACTATTTAGATGACCATTTTGTCTCCTAGCCTGATAAGTATTATGTAGTGAAGACATACTGTTTGTACTCCTTTATTTTATTCATGTAACTCCATCTGTTATATTGATTTGTTTTTCAAATTCATAAATGACCTAAATGTGTCAAGGCCCAACACAGAACTTGTACTTTGCATTGATTTTGTTGATTGGCTATTTTGGTTCTTCCTGTTAATTTCTAATGATTTAAAAACACTTAACTTTTTTTTTTTAAATAGATGCTGGGCTATTCAAACTCTGAAGTAGAAATGGACCAGAAGATGATCATATCACTTTTGTCAAAGTCTTACCCTGTACTCATAAGTGTCTAAGGCATCACAGAAAGTGGTTGAGAAATAAATAAGGGCTTGGGCCTTGCCCAAAATTACAGTCCATTTCAGTGTTAGGGAAAAAATGGAACCTAAGGCTCTGCCCCTGTATTTTTCTGCCTTTCCTCTTTCACTCAGGGATCGTTTACTCAGGGATCAGGAGTTTTATGAAAAACAGTCTTCTTGACTGAAGAAGAAGCCACATTACTTACCAGGTGGGGCGGTTACTTTCTTATGGTTCTCAGAACATCTCTAAGGATATGATTCCTATGGTCATTGAGAAGTATTTAGGAGATACAGAGGACCCTATCAAAACAAGAGACCTGTTTCTGGACCTGATGGGAGATGACAAAACTAAGAGATGGAACCTATGGATGATACACTACAAGCATGTATCCACTGTGCACAATTGGAGCTGAGGACTTCTGAGAAAAAAGCAGAAGACACTTCAGTGTCATCCCATCTGAGAAGCAAAGGACTTGTTATCCACCAGTGCCCACTTGTCATTGGTGGAGGGCTGTTCTAATAGGGTGTTAATTCTGTGGCACTTTGACCCACTGCACGAATGGGCAGAGTAGTCTGTAGTAACCAAGCAAAACCCTCAGGTAAAGAGTTACAGGTGTTGGAGGTGGAATCAGGTTGGCCTTTCCAGGAATGAGGCATGGGATGGAGGCACCAGCAGCATCTCTCACAATGGCTCTGTACTTGAAGTTATAGTGGGACATAGGAGTAGAGGGTAGATTTTGGAAAATGGATCTTAAAAGTTTTTCAGTGTCAGAGCTAGTTCTAAACTAGACTGTTTGCCTGCACAGCTGGGGAAGAATAGAGTCAAGTATAGGGTCATGTGGGTTTTACAGAACTAAGAGGTCCAAAAAAAAGTTACAATAGGAGGTATAGGAGGAGATGATGTGGTGATTTTCAATATCTGAGATGTTTTGTTTGTCTTACTGTATGACACTCTGTACAAGGTGAGTGCTCGGATGGGGTCTATCAGAGGACCTTCCAAACTTGACTCAAGACTGTGTGTGACATGTGAAGTTCCTGGCAGTGAGCTCACTTGAGGACAGACATCCTCTTCTTAGGTGCCATTGGAGAGCCTCACAGAGCCCTTTGTTTTCTCCCAGCCCTCTTTCACCTAGTCTGCAAGCCAAGAAATGTTTCTGTGATCCAGACATCTCTCCTTAATTTTCTGGAAGGGTTTTGCAATTCAGAACTTTATAAGAACACAATTCAGAACTTTATAGCTACACTGGTGCCCTTTCCAGGGTGCAGCTACCTGCGAGGGACTGCTCATGAGAAGAAAGGAAAGGATGTGTAAACTACAATAAAGTCATGGAGAGTGTGGAGGAGAGAGCAGCAAAAAAGAGAGATTTCACATTCATGTAACTTTAAAACTGCAGATAGACAAGATATGTTTGCATAAATTTATAGGGTAGGATGTGGTATTATGTCTTAGGAATGCAATGAATAATTGCATCAAACTGGTTAACATATCAATCTCCCCAAATACCAACACTTCTTAATAAGAGGATTTAAATTTTCCTTTCTAAGCAATTTTTAAATGTACAATGTTCTATTATTAAATATATTTCCACATGAAACAATGGAATTTGAAGAAATGAAAATTTCTGTCCTAGGTTACATTATGTACCCTTTCACCTTCAGCCTGATTGTCCTCAGCCGCAGCCTCTGTAACTACTATTCTACTCTGTGCTGTTGGGAATTCTGCTGCTACTGTTTCCACATATGAGTAGTGCATGCAGTATTTGTCTTTTTCTACCTGATTAATTTAGTTTAGCAAAATACTCTCCATTTCCATGTATGTTGTCATAACTGACTGAATCTTCTCCTTTCCAAAGGCCGGATAGTTTTCCATTCCTACATATGCCACAATTCCATAGTCTAATTCTCTGTTGTTGGATACTCAGGTTGACCCCATAGTTTAACTCTTGTGACTAGTGTGCCACGATTAAAGGAGTGCAGGAATCTCTTCAGCAAAATGGTTTCAAGTATTTTGAGTAAACACCCAGAATTGAGATTGCTGAATTGTATGGTAATTCTACTTTGGATCTGTTTGAGTAAACTTTATCATGTTTTATATTCACACCAACATTTTAAAAGGGTACACTTTTCTTTTTATCCTTGCCAACATTTATTTTTGTTTCTGAAATAAAAACCATTTATATACTTCACTGCAGAGCGAGATATTTTATTGTGATTTTCAAATTCTCAGTGATTAATGTTGTTGACTATTTTTCATCTATTTGTTGTACAAACAAGTATGTGTTCTTTTTACAAGTTGTCTATCCAGGGCCCTTGCCCATCTTTCAATTTTTTTTTCCATTTTCTTGCTATTGAGTGGTTTGGGTTCCTTATATGTTTTATTTAGTAGCCTCTTACTGTATGCCTGGCTTGCAAATACTTTCTCCTAACTCGTAGGTTGTCTTTGTAAACTGTTAATTTATTTTCCTTTTTTGTGAAAAAGGTTTTTAGCTTTGGTACAATCCTCTGTGTCTTTTATTTATGCTGCCTGAATGTTTAGAGTCCAATTCAGAGAGTCTTTGCCCATACAGTCATATGGGTAATCCTCTGTTTTCTTTTTTAATTTTTTAAAAAGTTATAATTTTATTAGTGCACATCTGCCGTACATAGTGATTATGTTCATCATGGTGAGTTGATACATAGTATGTGTCATATTTTAATTCTTTTTCATCTCCTTCCTTTCCCATCCTTCTCCCACCCGCTCCATCTCTTGGTCCTCTTCCCTTTCTATTCTCTATCATCTGTCTTTTGTTTTACTTTTAACTTACTTACCTTTTGGGAATCTCATAAGAAAATCCACACGATATTAGAGTTTGTGTGTCTGATTTATTTTGCTTAACATTACAGCCTTGAGGTGAGTTTCTGGTCTTACATTTATAACTTCAAGCCCATTTTTAATTGTTTTGTGTGGGGTCTGAGACAGGATCCCACATTCTACTTCTGTGTGCAGAAGTCCAGTTTTGCTAAAGCTGTTTATTGAAGACACTGATTAATGTTGGTAACTTTCTACAAACTCAGTGGATGATACAGGTCTGGCTTCATTTCTGAGCTTTCTATTCTGATCCATTGGTCAGTGCATCCTTCCCCCTCCCCAGTACTGTGCTATTTTAATTATTCTAGACTTTTGGTATAATTTGAAACAATATAGTGTCATACCTCTGGACTTGTTCTTTCTGAGCATGACTTCTGCGACTCAGCAGTATGTGGGGTGCTCATAGGAATTTTAAGACATTTTCTATTTCTGTGAAAGTTGACATTAGAATTTAGTCAGAATTGCACTGAACCAGTATGTAACTTTTTGTAGCATCATGAACATAGTATGTCTTTTCATTTATATTTGCCTTCTTCAACTTCCTTCATCAGCATCTGGTAGTTTTTAGTGTGTAGAGATAAACCACTTTTATTAAACATATTTCTATGTATTTTACACTTTTATAGCTACTATAAAAGATATTGTTCTCTTGATTTCTGATTGGAAAGGTCTTGGTTAAATGTGTAGTTACACCACTGATTTATTGTATTGATTTTTTGTAACCATTTGGGGGGAATCTGTGGGTTTTCTTATATAAGATCATATTATCAGCAAACAATGACTTTTTCATTTCTGCACTTCCTATTCTGATGCATTTTATCTTTTTCTCTTTTGCCCTAGAAATGATTTCCAGTACTGTGTTAAGTGAAAGTAGCAGCAGTGGTCATATTTTTTCCAAACATTTTAAGGAATGCTTCCATTTTTTCCCCCATCGAGTATAATGTTAGCTTTGGGCTTTCCATACAGCCCTTATTTTGCTAAGGTGCTTCTGGAGTCAGTCTTGAGGTCCTTCTTGAGGTTTTTGATTCAGTCTTGGTAGGTTGTATTAGACTAGTAATTTATTCATTTGCTCTTCCATTGGTTATTCAACTTGTGGGTATATAATTGTTCCTAATAACTTCTTATAATCTTTTGTATGTATGATATCAATTGTAATCTCTCATTTCTGATGTTTTCATGTGAGTATGATCTCCTTTCTTGTTTAATCTTGCTAAAGCCTTGTCAATTTTATTTTTAAAAATTCTCTATTTCATTGATTTTGAACTGTTGCTTAGTCTCTAATTCATTTCTAATCTGAACTTTATTATTTCTATCCTTCTGCTAAATTTGGGCTCATTTTACCCTTGTTCTAGTTCCTTTCAGTGTAAACTTAGGTTATTTATGTGAGCTCCCTTTTAGTTTCAGATGCAAATATTTATGACAATGAAGTTTCTTCTTAGGACTGCTTTCCCTATATACCATGAATTTTGGTGTACTATGTTTTCATTTGTTCAATTTATTTTAAAATTTTTATTTTAATTTTTTCACTTACTCATCTGTTGTTTAGGAGTACATTTCTTTATTTCATTTTGTGTATGGTATCTATTTCCACACCTGTATTTTCAGTCTATGTACGTGTTTAAATGTTAGATGAGGTTGCTAGGTGCAGGGAGGCCCAGGGGACGGG